TGTAGAAACCCAATTTGCATTGCCTAAGAAGTCGTGAATTTGTACTCAGTCATCTCCTGATGAATTTAAGTCTCAATACATAGGACGAGGTGTTTGGAAATTTCGGCAGATCAGAAACAGTGTAGATTTTATCACCCTTAGGGAAAAAAGAAGGAAGAAATCTAGGTGATGACACAGCAAAACAAAAAGAATATTTTCCGTTTTCCTGAAGCACCGAAGCTGAGTACTGCCTTTAGCGGCTTTGGCACCCTAGACGGAAGCGTGGAAATGTTCATCTTTAGGCCAGTGGTCGGCAAACTGCGGCTCGCGAGCCACATGCGGCTTTTTGGCCCCTTGAGTGTGGCTCTTCCACAAAATACCGACTTCTGCGCATGGGCCACGAAGTTTCAATCGCACCGTACGTGCGCGCCCGTACGTGGTATTTTGTGGAAGAGCCACACTCAAGGCGCCCAAGAGCCGCATGTGGCTCGCGAGCCGCGGTTTGCCGACTACGGCTTTAGGCCCTCATGAGCCATTGAACGTGTCCCGGCCCAGGAATGATCAGACCAGAGCAAACTTACAGAAGTAATGTAGTCTGGTGTCAACGATGAATTGGAAGGGAGGAGGAGGGAGAGGGAGGACGAGAGGCTAGGTAAGCGTTAGCCCCGTGGTCTGGGCAATGCTGGAAGCAAGCTTGTGATTGGGGGAGAAAAGGAGGCAAGTTCAGATGGTGGGGGGTGGGAAGGACTCAGGGCTGGGCCGCCGTGGACAAGCGCTGGACAGCCGGGGCCAAGGGGGAGGGATGGGCTCAGAGTGGCTGGTGGGATGGTGGTTCCGCTGACAGACGTGAGGAGTCGGGAGGAGGGATGTCTGGGAGAAAGAAGGTGATGATGATGTCTAAACATATCAAACACAGGGAACATAAGTTACCTGGAGAAAAGATGCGGGGATGTGGCCGCTGCTTGCACTTCTGCGGTGTGGGCACTTGGAGGCGCTGTTCTGTTTGACGGGGATGGCGCTCCCTGGAGCTGGGCCGCATGGCCCTGTGGGGTTGACTCTCACCTCAGCGGAGAGGAAGCCAGGTATTGCTTGAGCTCTCTCGCTTCTGTGTGGCTGTCACTCATCATGGTCTCTCTCCTACTGTAGTTACCGCCTGTGTGACCCTTCTCAACAGAAACTGTATGGAAAATCGCCTCTCTTTGGACAGTACTTGGTTCCGGAAAACCCAGGGACCATCAGAGTGGGAGACACCGTGTACCTGCTGGAGCAGTAATGGGAACCCCAGGTCCCGGGACGGCAGGTGCCTTGAAAAGCTGTCCTCAGAAATGCCACCCCTTGCCCTAACAGTGTTTTGGAGCTGCCGCCTCCGCGTGTGCTTGAGATCTGTGATTTCCACGTCTTTGCTCTTGTGGACTTCCTTGTGTCTCGATGTTTCCAGTGTCCTGAGGCTCCAGGCAAAAAAAAATATAGTCTCCATAACTGAGTCGGACTTCCGGAAGTCACCTGCCGGGCGTCTGAAAATTCAGTGTTAAACTATGATTGCGGAGTAATTCTTTCTCCTTCCTCTTTATTCCTCTCCCTGGAGCGCTCACCTCCGTCATGTCTTTGCCACCCCCCAGGGAAAGAGAAAAGAAGAGAAAGAGGAAGAGTGGGCGAGTGAGATGCATGTTCTAGAAGGTTTTGTGACCGCACGTGTGGGGCACGCAAGGGAAATTAAATAGCTTCCCAAACAAGGCTGGGATGTCACTTGGCTTTTCTCCTCGAGCCGAGCCCCAGGCGAGCTTCCAAAAGGGCACCCCTGACCTGGGGGTGGGGTGAGGGCTTGTGCCTGGGGGAGGGGTGGCAATTCGGTAGAACTGTGGCTGGAGGCCAGGGGAGCTTGACCAGCCAAGTGTGGCTCTGGGACATGGTCCGTGGGGCTGTCACCACCAGTGCCAGGAGTCCGGGCAGGTGCCCCCGGAACTCTGAGAGTGGGACACAGTCCAACAGTGCCTGATGGTGGGCAGAGTGGCTCTCAGACCCGGCCTCCATCATAGGTGTGATCAGGGTGTGGGTGCCATACCCAACAGGGCACCTCCCTAAGTTTAATGGGTCCGTGCAATTCTTTTTTCTTTTTTTAAATATATTTTTATTTATTCCAGAGAGGAAGGGAGAGGAAGAGAGAGAGAGAAACATCAATGAGGAGAGGGAATCATTGATTGGCTGCCTCCTGCATGTTGGAACCCAGGCACGTGCCCTTGACCGGAATTGAACCTGGGACCCTTCGGTCCGCAGGCCGACGCTCTATCCACTGAGCCAAACCGGCTAGGACTGGTCCGTGCAATGCTTAAGGTGTGCCTGGAGGGATGCTCCTCAAAGAATTCTGGGGACCGGTAGCTTTGGGAAGTCCTGGGCGCCTCACTGCTCTCCCAAGGCCAGCAGCCCGCCAAAGGCCCTGGAGACCTGCAGTTGGCGTTGAACACCACCCTTTCCTCCCCGCTCCCACCCCCCCCCCCACCAGGGTGTCCTCTTGCTGATCCTCTTTGAGAAGCTGCTCTGACCTCCAGGACGCGCCAGCCGGGGGCAGGGAGTCGGGTCAGCATGAGAGGCGCGTTCGTGGGAAGGCTGGGAAGTTATAGGTCCTGGTCCCTGGAGGAGGCCCCTTGTGGGTTGTGTCCTCCTGTCTTCTCCCTCGTGGAGGGATGGGACTAGGGCTTAAAAGGTCACAGGGATGAGGCAAGGGTATCCTGGACCAGCTCTCTGTTTGTGGGTCTTAGGGAGAAGCATTCTCTCTCTTTGGACTCGTTTGTCAAACCTGCCTTCGTGGATGGATGGGTGGGTGAGCGGCGCCGTCCTCTGTCTGCTAGCCTTACAGTGGGGCCTTGACTTACGAGTTGAATTCGTTCCGTGACGGAGCTCGTAACTCAAATTACTCGTATGTCAAATCATGAAAGTGAACGAGTGAGACACGTGATGCTGGGCTGATGTTGTGGCGTTCACTGTGACGTTCGCTGCGCCAACTAGCGGTGGGGTATCTGAAGCTGGCTCGTAACCCGAATTTTAGCTCGCAACTCAAAGCAAAACATCGGCCGAGAGACGGCTCGTATCTCGAAAAACTCGTTAGTCGGGACACTCGTAAGTCAAGGCCCCACTGTACTTCCATGGCAACGCATGCCTCCCCGATGGTGCTGTCTCCCACCACAATCAGAAGAACTGCCCCAGGCCCCTGCTGCCCCCACCCTACGTCAGCATGCGCTCTGTACTGTGATCTCCTCCCACCAGCAGGAACAGACACTGTTTGCTGCCCCCATGTTCTTAGAAATGAACCCGTGGGTTATGGTAGCATCTCAGGTTTCCCCATTCCAAGCAAGGGCAAGACTCTGGCTTTGCACCACCCATGTTTTGGGATAATAAAAATGCATTTTTAAATATATTCTTCTGTATTTCAGAGAGGAAGGGAGAGGAAGAGAGAGAAACATCGATGCTGAGAGAGAATCATGGATCGGCTGCCTCCTGTACGCCCTGCACTGGGGATCGAGCCCGCAACCCAGGCATGTGCTCTGATGGGGAATCGAACTGTGAGCTCCTGGTTCATAGGTCGATGCTCAACCACTGAGCCCCGCTGACTGGGCTGAAAATGCATTTTTTTAAAAATAATGACCGGAGGGATCTTGGTGTCGGCTCTGACTGCACTGTTCTCGGGAGGAGGCCCAGGCCACGGCCTTGACTGTGATCCTGCTCTCCCTCGATCGCAGCTGTGAGGGGCCTTGGGGGGGCACGGGTCCCATGCTGCCCCCCACCCCCCGGCTCAGGGGGAGGAGTCGCCTCCATCACACTATGACTCTCCCCGGACAGGCTGGGGGTTGTGTTAAGCAACAGAAGGGGCTGAGAAGCGACTTCCCATCCAGCTCCTTCCAAGGCCAATGGGTGGGGTCAAGTTCACTCGCCTTTGGCTATCGACCAACCTAATCGCATCACCCTTGGTGGTCCTCCCTCATGCTCCCTCACCTTCCCAGAACATTCTAGGCGGCTCCTGCTCCTCCTCCCTCCCTCCTAGGCCCACAGCCCCCGATTCCCCCACTTCGTTCCCTTCTCTCTACCCTCCACCCATCCCTGACCTGTGTCTTCCAGCCCGGACTCCGGGCCTGGTGGAGCTGTGTGGGTTCTAAGTCAAGTCTCACTGGTCTCTCTCTCTCTCTCTCTCTCTCTCTCTCTCTGGGACGTGCTGGGAGCACTGCCCGTGAAGTCTCGTCGTCGTCATTATTTCTGATGAGTATTTTTACACCTGATAGCGTCTTGGAGCGATGGTCTTCGCTGGCCTCGGGGAGGGGCCCCTTCCCCAGGACCGGCCCAGCAATTAGAGCGGCTTTGTTCGTCGGAGGCCCAGGACAGCGAGGACAGCTGGCGAGCTCGTCTCCGCCAGCGGCTCTGGTTAACATCAGCCCCGAAAGCTCTCTGTAAACACGTGAATAATTGATCGTCCGGCGCTCGCATAGCTACCGAGGATCTGAGCCCGTCTGACTCATTTGCGAGCCGTTCCTGTCGTCTGGCTGCCATAACATGGGAGGAATGATGATGGTTTCTTGGAGATTCTTCTGGGGCTGGAGTTGCCAAGACCGAGGCTGTAATGGTTTGTTATGATGACCTTTGTCGTTCCATTAGGGCTCAATTGCTTTAAAAAATGAAGTGCGCGGACTTTCGGAACGTGGTTAGCCTCTGCGCTGACCTGACATCATAGTTTACATTGCAGAATGTATTAATGACCGCAGAGTGTTTTCATGTCCCAGGGACAAGTTTTAACAACCATAATCTGCCCTCAGTCATCATAAATACAAACGTATTGGTCAAACAGATCTCGTTAATGTGGCCAAGATAAATGCAGGCCTATATTTTAAGGCAGCCGAAGTCCGAGAGAATATACGTGGAGCTTTTTTTTGTGTGGGGCGAAGGGATCTCGTCGACCCGCTCTCAGAAGACTGAGAGAATGAGCGTCCCCCTCTCTGGTTTTCCTTGGGACAGACAGAAAAGTCGGGGGGCTGTCGAGCAAGATTGTTCTCATAGTTTCGGGACCCCGTGAATGCCTGGTGGGGTGAATCTCCGTTCTTAAAGCCGTATTCTTTTTTTTTTTTTTTAAATATATTTTATTGATTTCTTACAGAGAGGAAGGGAGAGGGATAGAGAGTTAGAGACATCGATGAGAGAGAAACATCGATCAGCTGCCTCCTGCACATCTCCCACTGGGGATGTGTCCGCAACCCAGGTACATGCCCCTGACCGGAATCGAACCCGGGACCTTTCAGTCCACAGGCCTACACTCTATCCACTGAGCCAAACCGGTTTCGGCAAAGCCGTATTCTTCTCATGACGCTCACAGGGCTTTCGGAAAGAAGCCATGAAGATCGCACGTCTTAGCGGTGTGTTGCTCAACCGCATTTCCTTGAATCCCACCGCATCTTAAGAGTTTTAATTCTATTAATCCCCCCTCCCCCCCCCCTTCGCCCCAGCTTTGCGCTTCCTGGGGGAGGAGTCCCGGCCCCTCAGATGTTTCTGACAGTTCGCATCGTTCCAGTTGGCAATCCAGATGTTGGCAGGCGACGTTCTGGGCAGGAGCTGCAGGACGGATCAAACACTCCGTCTTCCTCTTCGTTACATCACACTCCCAAGCGCTGGCCTTCGTCCGTGGTGGCCACGTTGGAAGCTTCTCAGGCAGGATATAAATCCTTGTTGGAGGAACCCTCTCTGACTGTGTTTTCAGTCTGGACCAGGAAAATGTGCTTAAGGCAGTCATGGCTCCAACGCTCCCTTCTGAGGAAGCCAGCTGCTTCCAGGGGTGAGCTCATCTCCCTCCAGACACGGGGAACACGGCGCCACAGTTGACCTCCGTGTGGGTTGTGGTCACCTGGCGATGACGGATGACGGCTTCAGATCACACCGTTTACCCTTCTTCGCTGAGCAGAAGCTTCCCTCTGAGTCTGCTCTGGCCTTTGCCAGCATCACAGACGGGGCTGGAGAAATGTGATTTTGCCTGGAGCCTCTCTGGGGCTAGGGATTGGGTTATTTTCAAAGTGTTATTGGTGTGAGGATGCTCTGTGATGCTCTGTGTGGTTTAAGCTTTTTTTTAAAAAAATATTTTTAGCCCTAACTCGTTTGGCTCAGTGGATAGAGCGTAGGCCTGCGGACTGAAGGGTCCCAGGTTCTATTCCGGTCAAGGGCATGTACCTTGGTTGCGGGCACATCCCCAGTAGGGTGTGTGCAGGAGGCAGCTGATCGATGTTTCTCTCTCATCGATGTTTCTAACTCTCTATCCTTCTCCCTTCCTCTCTGTAAAAAATCAAGAAAATATCTTTTAAAAATATTTTTATTGCTTTCAGAGAGGAAGGGAGAAGGAGAGAGAGATAGAAACATCAATGATGAGAGAGAATCATGGATCAGCTGCCTCCTGCACACCCCCTCCTGGGGATCGAGCCTGCAACCCCGGGCATGTGCCCTGACCGGGAATCGAACCGTGACCTCCTGGTTCATAGGTCGACGCTCAACCACTGAGCCACGCCGGCCGGGCTGTGGTTTAAGTTTGTTGATCTCTTTAATAAGTGAGGCACATACACCCCGTTCATAGCCGCACTGTCCTCAACAGCCAAAGGTAGAAGCAACACAAGTGCTCGTGGACGGAAGGATGAATAGACAACATGGAGTATTACTCAGCCTTCAAAAGGGCGGGAATTGCGACACGTGTCACAATATGGATGCACCCTGGG